GTGAATGGAAAGTGGCTTATGTGAGTCCTATCTTCAAGAAGGGCGATCGTCACTCCACGAACAGCTATAGACCGGTGAGCCTCACCAGCATAATATGTAAAGTAATTGAGAGTATTATCAGAGATGCAGCAATGGAACATGTACTACGAAACAACCTTGTAAAGGATTGCCAACACGGTTTTATGGCGGGGCGCTCCTGCTTAACACAATTGCTCAAGGTATTGGATATTTGTACCCATATTCTGGAACGGGGTGGTAATATCGACAATATTTACCTAGATTTTGCCAAGGCTTTCGACAGTGTACCCCACGAAAGGCTGAAAATCAAACTGGAAGGGTACGGAATTCGGGGAAATGTCCTAGCATGGATAGAAGCCTTTCTACATGACTGCCACCAGTGTGTGGTGATTGATGGCATGAAATCATCATCCATACCTGTCACAAGTGGGGTACCATAGGGCAGTGTATTGGGCTCGCTGTTGTTTGTTTGTTTCAAGAATGACATGCCTGACGTTGTACACTCCTCCATACAAATGTTTGCCGATGACGCCAAGTTATTTCGGGAAATCAAGAACCAAGCGGACTGTGAAGAGCTGCAGAAGAACCTCTGTGGACTCCAAGAATGGTCGAAGAAATGGCTGCTGAGATTCATTGTCACGAAGTGTAAGAGGATGCACCTGGGGCGTACCAACGGTAAGGAGGCGTATCATATGTCCCAACGGGATGAAGAAACTGCACTAGTTGAGACTGTGTGTGAGAAGGACCTAGGTGTGTATGTTGACAATGAGCTGAAGTTCTCGGGCCATTGCGAGAAGAAGGTAAATCAGGCAAATAAATTATTGGATCTCATAAGAAGGTCGTTCAGATATCGAGACGGTCCGTCCCTGGTAACGATCTTCAAGAGTGAAGTGCTTCCCCATCTGGAGTACTGTCACCCCGTCTGGTCCCCGAGATATGCTAGAGAATGTCAGTTGGTTGAAAATGTTCAAAGGAGGGCCACCAGACTGGTGCCTGCACTTCGGCACCTCAGCTACCCTGAGAGATTGGAGCGCCTGAACTTGCCTAGCTTATGCCACAGACGGGCAAGGGGTGATCTAATTGAGGTGTATAAGCATCTCAAGGGGCACTACTCAGTCGAGTGTCCTTACTTGGAGCTGGCGGACGCTCGCACCACAAGGGGTCACAGCTCAAGATTGAAGAAGCCGCAAGTCCAGAAAACTGTGAGGGCAAACTTTTTCGGAGTGAGAGTTGTGAACTCTTGGAACAATCTACCAGAAAGTGTTGTGACGGCACCGAGTGTGAGCTCTTTCAAGAGAAGACTTGACCAACACTGGAGCAGGTTCAGGTACATTCAGGAGCAGGTGCATGCCCAGTACTTGCCAACAGTGCGCAACAGAGACGTGACCGACCGCCCCAAGCGGCTAACGAGTCGATCATTTGGTGAAGAGGATAAAAGAAAACGAAAAGTAACAGAGACGTGGCCGATCGCCCAAGCGGCTAACGAGACGATTAGTGGTGAAGAGGATAAAACCAAAAACAATAGCCCTTCATCTTTATCGAGGCATCAAGTCAAGTCAAATCAAACAGGGAGGTACTACCGTCTGGGAAGATATTGGAAGCATAATGTGTTGTCTAATGGTAAACCCTGATGCCATATGGCTTCACAAAAATTGTGACCAAGTCCCAGGTTGCTCATTTGACTTTCTGCCTCATTTACACACAATTGCAGGGTCTCAAAATTTTCACTTACAATTGACAACACACCAGTCATACTGTATATCGTTTCTCAGTCTTGATATTTTTTCTCACTTTCTATTTATTTCAGGATTCTTTTTTATTATTATTATTTATCATTATAATTTTTATTTGTTTTTATTAGTTTCTATTAATTATTATTATTATTATTATTATTATTATTATTATTATTATTATTATTATTATTATTATTATATTATTGCCCTGGTGGGCTAATCCCCTTAAGAAGAGTAAGAAAAAGAAGAAATTCTAAACACTAAAATTTTACATGTACTTCAGTAGGCAGTGTTTTTCACCCTGTTAGTAGTAATATTTTACCTGTATGTTTTCCTCCCAAGCATCAGCAATATTTCAGCAACTCAAGCTGTCCTCTGTCAGCACATATCACCTGCCCTGACACCAGCAATGTTTCAGCAGGCCATGGGTCCCTCCTGTCACAAGTAATATTACGGTAGCTCATATTTTCCTCCCTGAGCCCAGTAATTATTCAATAGTTTACGCTGTCCTCCTTGGCTTCTGCAATATTTCAGCAGTTCAAGCTGTCCTTCCTGGACTCTGGAATATTTCAACAGCGCAATTCGCAATTTCAACAGCTCATCTTATTGTCAACGACCAGCTCATATTACCATTAATAAGTGCGTATATTTTTGTGGTTATTGTTTAGTCAGGTTGGTATTATCACACACACATTTATTGTGAACTTATAATAAACGTTATAATTATAACAGTTCTTATTTGGGATTATCAAGGAAAAGAAGATATTTTATCCAATTTACGCACATACAAGCTCCACAACAAATTGTTTTTATTCATGTTTGAAATAACTATATATATATATATATATATATATATATATATATATATATATATATATATATATATATATATATATATATATATATATATATATATATATATATATATATATATATATATATATATATATATATATATATATATATATATATATATATATATATATATATATATATATTTTTTTTTTTTTTTTTTTTTTTTTTGTATGTTATGGTAAATAGAGATAATTGCCCATTAAGGTTAAACAAAAAAGATTACATTCCGTTTTCATTGCTGCAAATTAAAGGAATATAATTGTATTGCGCAATTTTGTTCTCTTTCGTTTAAGACGTCGTTTACCGTTATAAGGTAGGTAAATTATACCTAAAGTAAGTCATGTGAAGTTAGGTTATGTGAAATTAGGTTAGAGTTCATATGGAACTATTCTTTTATATGTAACACAATGATCTACATGGTCGTCTGGGGGCCAGTCATAAGTTTCCAAAACAGAAATCATCACTATTGGGCAATTATCAATATTAAGTGCACTACAGAGCAGTTACTGAGCCCTGGTTTGGATCATGGAATATACTGAAAGGCAAAGTGGAGTTAAACAAGCGAGGTGTATAATGTCTGGACTGTGATAAGTTAACAACAAATGAAGTGTTGTTATTCTGGTATTTAGTAAAGAATTGTGGGTTTACATAGTGCAGTATTGGGAGTCAGTTCCGGAATACACAGGATCAAGTTAAAAACAGGATATAATAGATGAATTATTGTGAATGCTAACAGTGCTAACGTGTCAGAAAAGAGAGGTGGAAAGAGAATATTATTTTTGAGAGACTTGACAAACTACAGTGTAAGCTTCCATGTGAGACAGAGGCTAGTGGTGGCAGACTCAAACACAAAAGTGAGTGAGAAGGAAGTGGTTGGAACTGTGGGTGAATTTGAGGGCCTGGGATAAACTGAAAGAGATAAGAGAGATTAACATGAATGCTAAGAGGATATGCATACAGTGTCTGACCAACATTTGGTAGAAACAAGAATAACGTTAATTGGAAGGCTCAGGAGAAACGAGAATAAAGGAATTGTTAAAATGGTTGAAAAATGTGGAGCTTTGGAAAGTAAATATATTTGAAAGAATAAATCAAAGGATTGATCAAGATTTTATTCACAGGAAAATAAAAATAGATGTTAGAGGAATTAAAGAAAAATTAAGACTACGATTCTAAAAAGTGTATGTGGATGTAAGAAACTAAGAAATAAGAAATCAGAATGCCACACACACACATTACCATTAGCTACAGAGGAACTATGCAAGTGCTGGGGTATACATGAATATTAAGAGGAGTACTGTATAAATAGTATGTTAAGGATGAATCATTGAAATAATGGGGAGAATAGTTGATATTTTTTTTAAAGAACAAGAAGAAGAAGACGTAGAAGGAAGTGAATAGGGTGAGGCAGCCTAGAGAATTAAGAAAAACATAAATTAAAATTGCATGATAATAGAAATATCTATAGAAATGAAGTGAAGGTGAAAGGGGAATAAAGCGAATATATTGAGCGACTCCTGACAGAGTTGCACTACAAGTAGGCTTATCCGCTCTGACAAGGGGAGGAAAGAATGATGTTATACTGAAGGAGGATAAACAGTAATCATAAAAATGTAAGGCTCCAAGATTGATGCAATTATCTTAAAAATGTCAAGGAAGGGAATAGGAAAAAGTAAAAAATAAAATAGTAAAATTCTATTTGTTGAGCATAACGGGAGGAAGAGAAACTGTAATTGTAGAAAACATTTATAGTTCTTCTGTATAAAGGGAAATATGAGAAAAAATAATTTTCAGTATACCTTTGAAAATATATGATACAACCATTATTGAGAGTTTTGCGATACTTACGGAGTGCAATAGTGAAGAAGAGTCTGAGAGCAGAAAAGGAAGATGTATGGGTAAGTGTGTATACACGAAGGAGTATAAGTGAAGAGTATTAGGTGAAGAGAAAGAAAATGTTTTTGGAAGATATGGATCTTGAATAATCGTCTGATAGACTTGACGGGAGAGTGTGCCATAGGAAGTATGCTGAAAATGTATGGGATGATTGGAGAATTATTAAATGTTATCTAGAGTTTTTTCTTACTTTCCTTACTTTCTAGAGAGTAAGGCTCCTGCTACACAATCTTGTTAAATGGCTGTGTTTCTCGGTAGACCTACGAGACGGATGTATAATAACTACCTGATAATATAATATTTTCGTGGATGGTGTAGTGAGAGAGGTGGAAGTAAGAGTGGTGAATTTTGGTAATTTTGTATTATTAATAGGGATAAAGGATGCAAACAGGAGGTGACACTGTTGTGATGAATAGTGAACAACACCGAAAGATATTGTAATTGGGGGAAGTCAATAATATATTTAAATAAAGCAAAGTGGTGAAAATAAATACTAAATGGAAGAAATTAGGTATATTTAAATAAAGCAAAGTGGTGAAAATAAATACTAAATGGAAGAAATTAGGTATTTCAGACGTCTTTGAATGGTTATAAAAGTGAATGGAAAATTTAATGACAAATTACATCATAGAATATCCGAGTGAAATTTATAGAGAAATCTATATAAAGGCGGCAAAGATGAAACCATACAGGTTACTAGTTGAGCCGACAATAATATATGAGTGAGAAGCACAGACTCTGGATGCATGAGAACAAAAGTTGGAAGTGGAGGAAACATTTGTTAAGTGAATGGGGTGCACATAATAGGAAACATGTATATTGATCTGAAAGGACAGCCAGGTAAATAGCTGATCAGGGTCAGATAAAATATTTTTAACATCCTGGTAAATTTGAGAGAATTAGAATAGGAACATTAGTAAAAAGAGTATAACTCAGATGCTGATGTGTGTGTACACGAGTCGGAAGTTTGGTGTTAAATTATTTAAGAGGATAGACATACTTGATAAAGTAATTAGAACGACGAGTGACATCGGATGAAGGAGTCTGTGATGTTTTGTATCTCTGTAATGTTACTAGAAAGAGCTCTGCCTATTACCGGTGAGGGTGGGGTCATATGGGTATTATCTATACATTAAGAACATATTGCAATATACTGTCACTTCTACTGGATTTCAAGATTTTTCATACGTTCACAGTTATATTTTCTAAAGAAGAATGTTTTGCCGCCCTCAATATTCCTTAAGCTGTCAATAGATATCATGTACAGTAGAAGCCGAAAATTACGTTGCTAGTGAGCTGAACAAAGTTCAGTGTAATTGATTGTCTTAGGTATTGGTTGTACTTGATAAATATTGCAGTAAATGGCCAGGAAACATTTGTTATAAGTTTTTCGCTTGGAAACAGTGTTAAAAGTTATTTATGCAAATATTTAACTCATCTTTTTAAATAATATAACAGTGTGTATCTGAACCTCATGATAACTTTACTAAAGCAGTTCCACATTTAATATATTTTTTCTAAATATGACTTCTGTGCAGCAACTATTATTACCTAACCTTCCTAACATTTTCTTAACAACTAACAATCTTTGATCTTCTTTCTATGGGGTATTTGCCTTCTTCTCTTCCTCGTCCTCGTCATCTCTTGGTTCATCATCGTCATCATCGTCATTCTCGCCCAAGGCCTTCACAAATTCTGAAATACAGTATCAAGTTGTTTACTGCAGCACAACCGAATCATTTGCTACGTTTAAAAAACACACAAAAAGCCATACCGACACCATCGATTAGTGTATTTGTAAACATTAGCAAATATGTGTTTGTGTGTTTGTACGCGTGTGCTTTAGTGTATCTCTGCATATATGCATGTATGTATGTATGTATGTATGTATGTATGTGTGTATATGTATACTTGTATTCATGAGTGTATGTCTGCAGCAATTTGTGTTTATAACTTAAATTTTGCCCCCCCCCCTCTCTCTGTCTCTACCTGACTGCTGTCCTCCCTCTCTACGTGGCCCCTACCTCCCGTCTGCTGCCTGTCCTCCTATAGGATGCCAACTTTACTCTATATTACCACCCTTAGCTCAGTTGACACCCCGGTCTCCCCCTCGGTTGACACACCCATCTCCCCCTCGGTTGACACACCCATCTCCCCCTCGGTTGACACACCCATCTCCCCCTCGGTTGACACACCCATCTCCCCCTCGGTTGACACACCCATCTCCCTCGGTTGACACACCCATCTCCCCTCGGTTGACACCCATCTCCTCGGTTGACACACCCTGTCTCCCTCGGCTGACACACCCATCTCCCCCTCGGTTGACACACACACTCCATCTCCCCTCGGTTGACACACCCGTCTCCTCGGTTGACACACCTGTCTCCCCTGCTGACACACCTGTCTCCCCCTCGGTTGACACACCTGTCTCTCTCTGTTGACACCGTCTCCCTCTCTGTTGACACCTGTCTCCCTCTCTGTTGACACCTGTCTCTCTCTGTTGACACCTTCGTCTCCTCTCTGTTGACACCTGTCTCTCTCTGTTGACACTCTCTGTTGACACTGTCTCCTCTCTGCTGACACCTGTCTCCTCTCTGCTGACACTCGTCTCTCTGTTGACACTCCGTCTCCCTCTCTGTTGACACCTGTCTCTCTGTTGACACCCGTCTCCCTCTCTGTTGACACTCTGTTCTCTTCCTCTCTGTTGACACCCGTCTCCCTCTCTGTTGACACTCGTCTCCCTCTCTGTTGACACCCGTCTCCCTCTCTGTTGACACTCGTCTCCCTCTCTGTTGACACCCGTCTCCCTCTCTGTTGACACCCATCTTCCTCTCTGTTGACACCCGTCTCCCTCTCTGTTGACACCCGTCTCCCTCTCTGTTGACACCCGTCTCTCTCTTGTACGTTTCTTCTTTCCCGTGCACTTCAACACAACCTCCCATACCGCTTGATCCCTCCTCCCGTTTTTAGGTCGCCGGCATCTCTCCCTACATGATTCTTATTCCATTTTTATTTAACCTCCCCTTTCCACATTTGTCCCTGCCTCCCTCTATATAAATATGACTCTGCTTCCCTCTAGGCACGACTCTGCTACCCTCTATGCACGACTCTGCTTCCCTCTATACATGACTTTGCTTCCCTCTATACATGACTTTGCTTCCCTCTATACATGACTTTGCTTCCCTCTATACATGACTTTGCCTCCATCAATATATGACTTTGCCTCCATCAATACATGACTTTGCTTCCCTCTATGCACGACTCTGCTCCCCTCTATACATGACTTTGCTTCCCTCTATACATGACTTTGCCTCCATCAATATATGACTTTGCCTCCATCAATACATGACTTTGCTTCCCTCTATGCACGACTCTGCTCCCCTCTATACATGACTTTGCTTCCCTCTATACATGACTTTGCTTCCCTCTATACATGACTTTACCTCCATCAATACATGACTTTGCCTTCCTCGTTACACAACCCTTATCTCCCTCTCTACATTGGTCTGGTCTCCGGTAACATGACCTCTGCTTGCCTTTCTATTTGAACCCTGCCACCATCTCTGTTGATATTGAAACGGTTTATTTAACCAGAAAAATGCAGATACAGAATCGATAATAATAATAATATTAACATGAGTGAGCCAGTTGAGAGCCTGAGCTCTCTACTCCATCGATACTTCCCCCTTCTATTTAACTTCTCTCTTCCTCTTTGGATGCCCCTATGTCTATTTCTGCATAAGCCCTTGCCTCCCTCTCTATACCTAGCCCCTCTTTTGCTCCCTACTTGTTCCCTGTTTCCTCTGTCCTTCAATGTAATACTCGTCCTAAGACCTGTTCAGCTTCCCCTAACCCCAGTCTAATCCCATTTTCTCATATACTCACAATTCCTTCCGGCTCTCACCTTCAAAGTCGATGCGTCCGTCTCCGTCGATGTCCACCTCTCGGATCATGTCCTCGACTGTGTGGAATAACCAGAGTTAGACTGGGTCAATCTCCCTACCACAAAATTCATTCATTCTTACATTATATTTCATGTAGATCCACAATGGAAACGTGGTTTTATCGAGATTTACATCATATATATATTTTTTCTTGCTCTATATTTACTCTATATTATATTTCTTCCTATCTGATTTACACACACACACACACACACACACACACACACACACACACACACACACACACATACATATATATTATGCTGTATATAACAAACAGAACACAAGCATCAATATAGGCGACTGTCTCGTTCAGTTTAACCTACAAAGTGTGGATTCGGTGGTGGGGGCAAACGTTTCCTTAAACCGAGGTTTTAACTTTATCTAATCGGATATCTAATTACTCATTTAATCACTATAATTTTACTCCAGTGAAAGATATCACACCTAATTGTAGGTACTGATATTCATTTTCATTTGGTGCCTGTACCGACCACTGAATGTTTTCGATCCAACGTTTTTAGGCTTTATCACCAACAAAATTTTACTATTTCTGTTTTCAAACCTTCATAATGAAAAGTTCAGTATTGATAACATCACTATACGTAACACCATACACTCCTTCCAGCACCCATCATCAAGAAGGAACGATAACACTTCTGTCATCAACAAACTCGTTCATAAATTTACTGTATTCATATAACTAACCGTCCTGGAGGTGAAGATTACCCCTGATATTTAGCTACCTATTCATCAATGGGTTCACACGATCACTGTCTTACCATGTTTCCCATATAGCACTAGACCTATATTATATAGCACTTTAGGAAGGCAATTTGGTTGAATTACTTGCCTCTGGTCTATGCCCGTTATTTTCCTGCCCGTAGCGTAGGCAAATTACCTTTATGTCCCTTGTTAAGCAAGATAATTTCCTCCCTCCTCCCCCCGTGTTGATGAGCAGCTCAGAAGCCACAGCAAGCTAAGTCGATGGGTGTCTATTGACACCTGGTGTAATGTTGTAGTGGATACTCTCCCCTACAACTGCCGATTTGTCGCTTAACAGGCAACCCTGCGGCGAGTTCCTTAGACCAAGCCTCGCTTTCGAACTGCGCGGTGATTGGCCAGTTACCGCCATCACCTCAGCCAATCAGCATCGCTGCTCACTTCCGGCAGAATGGTATAAATACCCCAAGCCTCGGAAGGAATGATACACGTATCAGACCTAGCCAAGGTACTGACAACCTTCGCGGAGGGCCTAGCCGGATTACTGGGCCACAAGATCCAACCCACACAGCTCCAAATACTCATGGGGAGCGTCCTCGGGCAAGTCGCCACAGCTCCAGCCACCTCAGTGGAGGAAGCCACGCCGGTCCTCACACGAGTGACAGCCGAGGTACACTCTACACCGAAGAAGGCCACCAGAGAACCCAAGATACCGACAGCTCCCAGAAAGAAATTAGACGTTTCAACTCCCCTGAACCGAACCACGGTCCAGAAGGCAAAAACCACAAAACACGAAGATATGAACCTGATCCAGTTGGAATCGGACTTGGACATTTCCATCGAGGACCACCAGAAGTTCCCGATGAAACAGTGGTGGAAAACATCAGCACCCTGAACATCCTAACATGGAATGCTCAGGGCTTTAAAAACAAGAAACACCTCCTACAAGAAGCAGCAGCCAAGGACAAGCTTGACATCATACTGCTACAAGAAACACTTCTACAAGAACACCACTGTTTCAAATTCAGTGGTTACAAGACATACAGGAGGCATTTCACGCAGGCGTCAACAAGAGGATGTATGATCTTGGTCAAGTCAAGCATACCCTCCTCCGAGGTCACGCAGCAATTTCCATGTGGGGAAAACATCGAAACACAGGCCGTCAAAGTAACCCCCCAAGAACGGGAATTAACTGATCACAACATCTACAAGAACCCAAGGGGCTCACTGGAGGTGACTCAATTATTTGCTTCGGCCGCTGCCCACGTCACACTCATAGGAGGGAATTTCAACGCACATCATCCCTTCCTAAGCTCGGTAAGCCCCACAAATGAAGACGGCCTACACCTATACACCACCTTTCAAGATACACCCGAGATCTGCCTCCTGAACTCCGGAGAGCCCACACACACTAGGGAAGGAAGGCTAGATCTAACCTTCGTCTCCAGTGCACTACAGCCTTCGGCCTCCTGGCAGCTACACCCCACGCTGACCAGCGACCACTTCACCCCCGCCGAGATGGAGATACAATACCCAAAAGGCAGACTGGGGACTCTTTAAGACACACCTGGCTAAGTGGCGCGAAAAATCACAGCCGGCCGGCGCAGCACCCGTGGATGAGACAACCCTCCACCAACAATTGGTCGAGGCGTTTCACCAAGCGGCAGAAGAGGCTATCCCAAAAACAAAACCCACATCAAGACAGTACAATGATTACTGGTACTACTGTCCCAGGGTGAAAGAACTCAACCACAGAGTGAACATGGCCCGAAGAAACTACAGGAGACATCCCACGGAAACAAACAGACATCTCCTGCAAGTCATAGTTAAGGATACCAGGGAAGAGAAGGAAGAAATAAAAAACGTAAGCTGGCTCAAGTGGTGCTCCGAACTGAACGAGCACACCTCCCTTGGCAAGATGTGGGCCCAGATCCGAAGGGCATCTGGGAAGGCAACACCACCACCACCAACCCATCCCAACCCAGAAGAGGAAGCCGAAAGACTTGCAAAACTGTTCTCTGACCGAGCAGCAACGAAAAACCTCCCGAGACAGGCGGAGGAGACACAACGGCGTCTGCGACAGGTCAGACTGCAGATGATCGAAGAGGCCTGCAACAGTGAAGATGACACCGACAGACCTTTCAACCAGCAAGAACTCCAGAAGTCGCTAAAACGAAGCAAGGACACAGCACCAGGGACCGACAGGATAACCTACTCCATGCTTTCCCATGCCGGTACAGCCGGACACGAGGCTCTGCTACAATTCATCAATGCTTCGTGGACAGCACAAAGACTCCCACCGGAATGGAAGAAGGCAGATATACAGCCCATTCCGAAGTCCAGAGAACCAGACAAACCGAGGCCCATCTTCCTTCTCAGCTTCATAGCGAAGACGGGAGAAAGAATGGCTCTCAACCGACTCAAGTGGAAAGTAGGCAGCCCACACCCTCACATCTTTGCTTACACCGAGAACACCGGCACAGGCAGCAACATCGCCGAGATACTCAGCACAGTGGACTACAAACCAGCTCTGGTGGTCTTCCTCGACCTGGGGAAGGCCTTCGAACTAGCAAATCCACTGGCCATTACAACGACGCTCGCTGAAAAAGGCGTCAAAGGAAGGTTGCTGGGGTGGATCCAGAACTACCTCACACAGAGAGAAGCAAGAGTACACTTTCAGGGAGCCACCTCAAGCTACAGGGTCCATGAAAACGGAACCCCACAAGGAGGCATCCTCAGTCCAATGCTGTTCAATGTCCTGATGGAAAATCTTGTCAAACTTCCTTTCAGACAAACAGCCAAGCTCCTATGCTATGCAGACGACTTACAGGTTATAGTAAGAGGATCAAACAGACGAGCCAACACGCAACACACACTCCAACTTATAGAAGAGGAGTGCAACAGACTTGGACTCAAGATAAATCCAGCCAAGTCGAAAGCGATGGCCATCTGCACAGACACACCAGACAAGATGCTCTCCATACAAAACACGCCGGTAGTCTGGACCAACACCCACCAGTGTCTTGGAATCTGGTTTGACCAGAAACTCACTTTCAAGCCGCAACTCGAGTATCTCAGGCACAGGACGAAGAGCAGACACAATATAATGAGGTCGCTCACCAGCACAACCGCAGGAGCAAACCTTCATGTGCTCAAAGCCTACTACACGGCCGCCATCAGATCGCTGGTAGATTACAGTGCTCCAGCACTCATTGGACTGAGAGAAGACCAGATAGCTAAGCTAGAAGTCATCCAAAATAATGCTCTCAGGACCATGCTCGGAGCACCCATGTGGACCAGAATTTGCAATTTGCAAATGGAAACCGAACTACCACCCCTGGCAGTACGAGTCAAGCAGGTGACAGCCTGTCTCCTCGCCAAAATCTGTAGATCAGATAAGCCCACAGCTGCCAAAATTCGAATCAGTGCCTCCCTCCACCTCGACCACAGAGTGCGAGGGGTCACCTGGTCGCACGAGGCAAGCGAGGTCATCCGACACCTGCAAGCAGAAACACTCGTCAAGAACAACCAAGACACACGAGACAATGGTTACGTAGTTCCTCCACCATGGAGCCCTCCACCAGCCACATTCAAAATTACCGACCTAGGCGATAGTAAAGCCAACCTCCAGAAGGAGGACCTCAAAAAAATAACTCTGGAAGCCATAGCCACCGAGACACCGGCTGATGCAGCATCATACTTCACAGACGGCTCGGTGGATCCAAAACATCATACATCCGGAGCGGCCTTCTACACCCAAGGTCAGACCCTCCGATGGAGACTTTCTAATGACTGCTCCACCCTACAAACAGAGCTGGTAGCAATCTCAAAGGCCCTACAACACGCTGCAACACAACACAACAAGTCCATCATAATTCACACGGACTCGAAATCGGCCATGCAAGCGCTGCAACACAGTCAACCAAGAGACAACGTCCACATCATAACCTCGATCCTCGCACAGCTACAGGAATTCCAAAGACAAAACCGCCCAGTCGTCTTACACTGGATTCCCAGTCATGTAGGGATCGGAGGAAACGGCGTGGCAGACGAAGCAGCCAAGGCAGCTACACGTTCTAGTAACGTACACATCCAAGTTCCAGCAAGTGTGCAACAGATCAAGAATCACCTCAGAAAGACTAGCAAGCTCCACATCAAAAAGAGCTTCCTTCACGCATTCAACGCTGGTTCCCAATCAGCCAAATGGTACCTGGCGGCTACAAAAGGGGAACCACCTTTCGCTGACAAGAAAACACCAAGACAAACCCAAGTCAGCCTTCATCGACTACGACTA